AAGACAAGGTGAGGACAGGGGAGGAGAGAGGAGGAGAGGACAGGAATGAAGGGGAGGACAAGGGAGGGGAGGACAGGAATGAAGGGCGGGAAGACGGGAGGGGAGGGGCGGGAAAGCTTTAAGATGAAAAACTCAGTGGTGGTATGTTTACCTAGCTTGTAAAAGAGGCCCTGAGTCGATTTCCAGGGCAAGGTAAAAACTTTATAATAAAACAGTTTAAAGGAGCCAGTGTATATATGTGGAGAGGGCAAAGAAAGTTAGAAAAAACTTTTAAGTTAAAAAAAAATTATACACATTAAAAAAAAATAAGAATGCTGTTTAAAATCTTAATACTAATAAATAGTAAGATTTCATGAACTGATTTTCTCAGAAAAAAATGAATTAACAAAACTAACTCAAGCTGAATCAGGAAAGTTGAATAAACCAATAACTGGGGAGGAGGGGTACAGACTGAAGAAGTCATCAAAGAATTACTCAAATGAAGATGCCAGGCCTTGTTGGTTTTATGGCTAGGCTCTTTCCTGTACTCCTGGAACAAAAAATTCCCATGTTGCAATCTGTTCCCAAAGCTGAAAACTGCTTCCATTCACTTCAGAAAATAAGCCTTAATGCCAGGCCCTGGGAGCTCATGCCCATATTCCCAGCATTCAGGGGACTGAGACAGGGGGATTAGCTGCAATTCTAACACCAGCCTGGGCTACATAATAATTTGAACCTCAGTGTGAGACCCTGACTTAAAATAAAAATTAATAAAAATAATTGTAAAATAGCTAGCTTAGCTTTTAAAACTGAGAAGTAGGACGTAGTGGTACATGTCTTTAGTCCCAGCACTCGAGAGGCAGAGGCAGGCAGATCTCTGTGAATTCAAGGCCAGCCCGGTCTACAAAGTGAGTCCAGGACAGACAGCCAGAAAAACCCTGTCTAAGAAAAAAAAAAAGAAAGAAAAAAGGAAGGAAGGAAGGAAGGAAGGAAGGAAGGAAGGAAGGAAGGAAGGAAGGAAGATGAGAAGAATAGAAGAGCAAAATTACATTTCCTAGCATGCAAGTTGCCCTGGAAGCCATCTCTAGCATCTTTATAAACCACACAGAATTACCCCACCAGCAGCAAGCAATTCCCTGGCTGCATATATAACTAAAGAATTGAAAGCAGGCTAGATGCACAGGACTTACGAGACTGGAACAGGAAGACTCTGTAGCCCAAGGCCAGCCTGGGCTACAAAGTGACCTTCTGTCTTATAAAAGCCAAAATAGTCTTTCAAAAGATTTATTTTTGTTCTGAGTGTTTTGCCCGCACATATGCATGTACACCTTATACACGCCTGGTGGCAGCAGAGGCCAGAAGAGGGCACTGGATATCCTGGAACGGCAGCGACAGTTGTGAGACATCATGAAAGTGCTGGGAACCCAATCCGGGTTCGCTGAAAGAACAGCAAGTGCTCTTACCTGCTGAGTCATCTCTCCCACCCCTAAAATAGTTATTTTAAAGAGAATAAATAAATACAGGGGGCTGGAGAGATGACTCAGCGGTTAAGAATGCACAGTGCTCTTGCAGAGGACCTGAGCTGAGGTCCCAGCAGCCACAAGTGGCTCACAGCTGCCTGTAACTCAAGCTCCAAGAGATCTGAGGCCCTGTTCTGGTTTCTGCAAGCATCTGCATTCATATACACATACTTACACAGACTCACACATGTAATTAAAAATTAAAATAAGTGTAAATGAGAATAAATGTCTGCCTCCAGTTACAGTGCAAGACACAAAAAGAACTGTGGCTGCTAGGCAGGGTGAGGAGTTGTTTAGTGAGGATCAAGTTCTCATGAACTCTGGTGATGTTCCCAGCACCCACAGGACAATTCACAACTGCCTGTAACTCCAGTTCTCGGTGATCAGATACCTTCTTCTGACCTCTGCAAGCTCTTACACACACGTGGTGCACATATATACACTCAAAATATTCTCAAGCACACAAACATACAATAAATCAAAACTTTTCAATGGAAATAAGAGGCAGGGGAAATCAAAAGTTGGAAGTCAATCTGGGCTTCATAGGGAGGCCAGGTTTCAGAAAAGCCATACATAAATATACATTACATACATTATATACAATTTATAAATATACATCTTCAAGTGTTAAGTGCATGCTGCAGAGCATACAAGAACATCTGTTTGGCCTGAATTTTGATTCTACTAGAACTGGAATTACAGACAGTTGTGACCCGCTGTGTGGGTGCTGGGAACTGCTGGTTTGAATAAAAATGGCCACCACAGGCTCATAGGGAGTGGCACTATTAGGAGGTGTGGCCTTGTTGAAGTAGGTGTGGCCTTGTTGGAGAAACTGGGGGTGGGCTTAGAGGTCTCAGATGCTCAAGCCAAGCCCAGTGTGTCTGAGTCTCTTCCTGCCACCTACAGATCAAGAAAGAACTTTCAGCTCCTTCTCCAGCACCATGTCTGCCTGCACAATGCCATGTTTCCTGCCATGACAATCATGGACTAACCCCCGAAATGTAATCCAGACCCCAAAAAATGGTTTCCTTTATAAGAGTTACCACGGCCATGGTTCCCCTTAACAGCAATAGAAACCACAGGTAAACACCAGGTCCTCTGCAAGAACAAAGGCTCTTAACCACTCATCCATCTCACCGGCCCTATCACTTGTCTTCTTTTGTTTTGTTTTCTGATTTTTAAGACAGGGTTTCTCCATGTAGCCCTGACTGTCCTGAAACTCAATCTGCAAACCAGGCTGGCCTCAAGATCCACCTGCCTCTGCCTCCCAAGTGCTGAATTAAAGCTGTGTGCCTGCATAATTATTTTGATAACCATAAGGTGAAGTACAGGGTTCGCAAGATGGCTCTGTAGGTAAAAGCACTTGCTATACAAGCCTGAAAACCTGAGTTCAAACCCACGTAAAGTTAGAAGGAGAGACGTAACTCCACAAAGTTGTCCTCTAACTTCTAACATGCATTGTGATGCACACACACGGTAATAAAAATGCCCTTCTAAAGCATGTAAGTATGATGTTGCCCCGTGAGCGCAGCTCCGTGCAGAGCACCTACCTACTGTGCCCATGTCCCTGGTTCTAGGTCAGCACCACAGAAAATAAAACAGAATCAAGCCAGAGCCTGCTGCCTGCACAAATGTGAAAAGACAGGTCACTCGTATCGCCACTACCTATTTCTTAAAGATCTGTGGATTTAAAAAGGGTAATAATGTGCACGTATTTCTATGTGCGCACATGTGAGCGTAGGTATGGAAGCCAGAAGGAAGCACTGGGTCCTCTAGAGCTAGAGGGACAGGCAACTGGGAGCCCTGTGAGAACATCAGCGCTGGGTCCTCTAAAGGAGTAGTGTGGGCTCTTTAAACACACACAGGTCAGAGGACAACCATGACAATCAGTTCTCTCCTTCCACCATATGGATCCAGGGACTGAACTCGGGTTGTCAGACCTGGCAGCAAGTACCTTTACCTGCTGAGACATCTTCCCAGCACATCTTCCTTGTGGTACTCTTTTTTCAGTGGATTTTCTGAGACAGGATTTCTCTGTATAGCCTGGCTGATCTGGAACCCCCTCTGTAGACCAGGCTGGCCTCAAACTCACAGAGGTCCACCTGCCTCTGCCTCCCAAGTGCAGGGTTACAAGCATGCGACACCACACCAGGTGTTTGGTGCTACATCTTAATGTGAGAAATTCTACAAGTATAATAACTACAACCTTTAAGTCACAAAAAGCAGACTAAGGATTGGAAAACAAAGAGCAAACTGGAAGCCAGGCAGGGCACTGCACGCCTACTAATCCTAAGACTTAGGAGGTGGAAGCTGGGGGATGAGGCGTTCAGAGTGTGAGCTCAGCCTGGTGGAAGGCCTGGGGAGCATCTAGGCTGGCAAAGTCCATGCCACATAGTCACGAGGACCTGCACAAATCCTAGACCCATGTAAGAAACCAGGCATAATGCGCATGCCCGCAACGCCATCTGGGGAGGCAGAAACAGAGGATCTCAGGGGCTCACTGGGCAGCCAACCTAACTACTTGGTGAGCTCCAGGTCTCAAAAAACAAAAGCATGGTTGATGCACCTGAGAAATGACACTTGTGATGGACCTTGGGCCAACACATATATGCACACACACGGGCACACACACATATCACATACATGGAAAAGGCCAACTCAAATGACCAAACCACCAAAACAGAGACACGTCCCTGGCCTCTAACAATCCTCTGATGTGCTGCTGTGTGTCCAACAGAAAGGAACAGAGGACAGGAGGAGCCAAAACCTTCCAGCAGCCCAGCAGAAAGGACGGGCTCTGAAGGAAAAGGTGCAAACTGCCCCACACCTCAACACGCCCTGCCCCCGTGTCTCACTTAGCCTAAGTCCGCTTTCACAAAGTATTTTCTCCATGGTAGGAAAAAAAAGGAGCCTTTCTTTCTCCGGCACTTGGCGGCCACATATGGTACTGCTCTGAATAGAGGCTTTATGAGGGAGGGTCCACAGGCCACAGGCGTAGGTTACACCACTGGCCACAAACAGCAAGGAACAGACCTCAGGATTTATATGTCCAATCAGCAGAGGCAGCCCGATAATTCAGACGGAGCTGCTGTCACACCCCAACAGCCAATAAGGCCAATTCTGGGCGCCTCGGAGACACAGGGCACCATCTGTAACCCTGTCCCAAACAGAGAAATACGCATGCACGCACGCACGCACACACACAGCTCCTTTGTTCTGTTCTAGAGCTCAGACAAGAAGAGCAATGGTTTCAGATGGAGGCTTCTGGCAGCTTAGTTCAATGTACTGCATGCTTCCTGAGTGAGAGAGTGGATAGAAGGAGAGCCTGCACCCCTGAGGAACAATTAGGAGACACTGCCCTGCATCCTATAGCCCTGGACCAAGCACGCTGAACCCTGCCTTCCTCAAACCCCATAGATGGTCTCCAAGAGACAGAGGCACTGTGGTCAATGCCAGGACTGGCTGCCATTTCCTCCCTGACCAGAGTTGAACCATACATACTTTTGCCGCCATTGTTCTTCAGGACATTGGAGAGGTTGACAGAGGCAGTGCCGAGTAGTTCATTCCTCAAGGTGTGACAGCTCCAGACCTTCAGATCTAAATGACTCTGGGCTGTGACATTCCTGGAAAACAAATGAGTGACTCATCACAGCCCAGCAGATGAGCCAATTGCCCCTTTAAGATGAAACAAACTGCTAAAAGCTACCCTGCTGACATCGTGCAGGGGACAAAACAGGGAGACAGTCATGCACACCTCCCACGCTGACCTGCTACCCCTAGCTAATAATGAGTGTCTGTGAGCTCGATGAGGTACAGACACCTAGAGAGGAGCACCACAGGGCTGAGGCAGTGGGGTCTGCTGCCCTGGCCTCTCCTCCCCCACCCCTGTATTCTAGAAGTGACACCCTTACAGGACAATGACTTCATCCCAGAGAAGCTCGGAGCTCCCGATGCGCTTTCCCGTCTTCTTGGTCTCGCTGGGGAGTCCATCCACTGCTACCTCCACGTAGGAGTTGATCCTCGGCTGGCGGCTGTGCACCCTGGGCTTTGCTGACACCACTGGACGAGACAGAAAGCAAAAGCAGGTGAGTTAAGTAACTGCCCTGTGCCCCATGGGGCAGATGGTCTGGCTCCTTTTGGTTATTTCCTTTGAAGAGATCTTGTGTTTGTTTTGTTTAGCTTTGTGCTCTTAAAAAAAAAGAAAAACTTTTAAAAACTTACATGGTGATAGCTCAGTCAAGACATGTTTGCTGTGAATGCCTGCCAACCTCATTTCCTCCCAGCACCCACATAAAAGGCCACGTGTGGTGTGACAGCGCTGTCTATAATCCCAGAGCTGGAGAGATGGATTGAGACAGGCAAATCCCCTGAGGTCAAATGTCAGCCAGGCTGGCCTAGTTGACAAGTCCCAGGTTCCAGCAAGAGTCTGTCTCAAATAAGAAGGTGGACAGTGCCTGAGTAATGACACCCACGGTTGACCTCTGACCTCCACATGCATGTGCCCACACACATACAAAATAAATTTAAAACAAGAAATAAAAGGGGGTATAAAGAAAACAAAGAAACAAACAAACAAAACAAAAAGCATGGACATACAAAACAGCTTGAAACATAGAGAAAAATCGCTCCTAACCTAAACACACAAGGGATAGCAAAGTGCTTTGCTCACTGGCCTACAGCCCAGTGCCCCCGAATCAACTTTTAAACGGCTGTCCCAAAATCCACTGCATGCTGTGTTAATGTATCACATCACTGACATGCCTCCCACAGTTCCCCGTGGTGGGACAGTTGGCACAGATGCGGCTCCTCAGAGCAGCTGAGCTTCCTGTCAAGTCTGAGCACTGCGGGGATCCTCTGGAAATTCAGGGCTCCCTGCACTGCCTCTGAGTAGATCTCCATTTGGCCACGCTGTGAAGTCGAGGACTGTTTCCTCAGTCTTTGCAAACCACACAAATTTTTAAAATAGCATAGAGATAATCACTAAGGTTCAACCAACAGTCCCTCCAAACAGACACACCAAGGCATACATCATCCCCTGAAGCCCCACAACTCATGAAGCGGGGACATACTGTCACCATGACTGTGCCGAGGAGGAAACAGGCTTGAGAAGAGAGGTCACACTAGGCCTGGAATGAGGACACACACCTGTGATCCCAGCAGCTGGGAGGAAGAACAGGAGGACTGCTGCAAGTTCAAGGCTGGCCTGGTCTACATGGGGAGTTCCAGGCCAGACAGAGCTACTCTCAAAACTTAAAACAAAAAAAACAGGCAAAGTCACTCATGCCTACAATCCCACTGACTTGAGAGGCTGAGATAAGAGGTTCATCTTGGGTTCAAAAGTCCACCATGAGCTACAGAGTGGGTTCTCCTCAGCCTGGGCCAGAGCGTGTATGTGTTGGGGAAGGGGTCATCTTCAGTTATGTAAAGAGGGAGCTGTAAGCCAAAATGCGCCCCCAGCAGCCCGACCCCACCCCAGCTGTGTGCCATTCCTGGGTTTTGTGCACCTTCTGCTGCTTTTTGTCACGTAGCAGGGGCTGAACAGGCTCCATGATGGTCAGCCACCTTACTGCTTGTTCTGTTTACAGCCTTCATGCGAATCAATCTCAATCTTTCTCTCGTCTCTCTGTCTCTATCTATCTCTCTCATTTTCAAATAATGCATAAGCTATTTCATTGATAAAATTCTTCAGAGCCCTTTCTGCCTTATTACAGGTACAACAGCTAGGTATTAAACCCTTTAAACACTTTTCATCTCTCTGAGTTCAAGGCCAGCCTGGACTACAGAGTGAGTTCCAGGATAGCCAGAGAAACCCTGTCTCAAAAAAACAAATCAAATTAAATTTAAATTAAAAAAAATAATCTCTCTCACTCTTTCTCTCTCTCCCCTTTTGGTCTGGTTTCCTTCCTGGCTTTAAATAGTGGCATCCTGCTGTATAGCCCAGGCTGACTTGAACTTCCTACTCAACTGAAAATGGCCTTTGTCTCCTGAGTACTGAGATTACAGGCATACACTGTCATGCCTAGCACACAGCCACACTTGTGATTATCATTTGTCTCCAACAAACTGGTAAAAACCCACAGAATATAAAGCCAACAAACACCGTATCCCACGGGCACCTAGCCTACATCGTTCGTGAGAAGTCCAGGTCAACCAGAGGAATCACACACAGACACTGTGCACCCAGTGCCCAAATCAGAGGCTAGAACGGATGCACCTCACCCACGATGACAAGACCAACCTCCCCTGAGGTCTCTACTGACAGGAAGCTGAGCACCTTGCCAGACCTTTTAGGAAGGTGACAAGTCCTACAAAGGTCTACAACTGGACAAAGGTCACAGGCACTACTGGGGTTGTTTGAAGCACTCCAAACCTAAAAGCTACAGTAGGAAGTCAAGAAACAGAACAAAAAATATTTTAGGACTAGGAGTCGAGCAACAAGGATGGGTCTGAGAATAAAGCTTTGTCACAGACATAAGACCTCAATGGAAAATGTACCACTTTACACGTACATCAAGGCTAGCTGAGGCCACCTAGTGGTGAGACAGGAACACTGCATACCTTAACTGTAAATACATGGACCTTGTAATCAGTCCTAGACAATCTCTTCTAAAAAATCAACAAGTTCCTGCCAGGTGTGGTGGCACACACCGTTAGTCCCAGCACTCAGGAGGCAGAGCCAGGTGGATCTCTGTGAGTGCAAGGCCAGTCTGGTCTACACAGTGAGTTTCACGCCAGTACAGCAGGACTACATAGTGAGACCTTGCCTCAAAATAGGGGGCTGGAGAGATGGCTCAATGGCCATGAAGACTTTGCTCTTGCAAAGGACCTGAATCAAGTCCCCAGCACCATACAGTAGCTCACAACCATCTGTAATTCCAGTTCCAGGAACCGATGCTGTCTTCCAGGCTCCACAGGTACTATTTGTGCATGTTTTGCACAAATATTCAGGAAAACACTCACACTCATAAAGCAAAAACAAATGAATCTTGGGAAGAACTTGAAGTTCAAACTTGTCATTTCATAGCTGGGTCATCAATAAGTTTCAGGAAGCTGAACTAGCTGATCTAAAATCAGAGTTCATAAAAGGCAGGCAGCCAATCTCCCCCAAGTCAAGTCCCTCACTGTCTCAGGACAGGCTTATATTTGTTTTGATTTTGGTTTTTGTTCTCTAGTTCTTTTTCCCTTGTTTTCCATTTGGTTTGGTTTGAGACAGGGTCTCACGTATCCCAAACTGGGGCCTTCAACTGTGTGCATAGCTAAGGACATGTCTGAACCTCTAATCCGCTGCCCTCCCAGCCACTCCCTGCTCCCCACCCCCTTTCTCTAGAGTTCTGGGATTCTGGGCATTTACAACACCCAGTTTACTCAGTAGGACTGAACCCAGGGCTTCATGCATGCTAGGCAAACTAACAACTTAGCTACAAATCAAGCTAGCACAAAATCTGAGGCCCTCCTAAGTTCATTCCCCAAGTACCTTTAACCTAAGTACACAGGTGTTAAACAGTGACAACCTAAAAGAGAATAATCAAGTGGGGAGGGGACAGATGTGAGCAAGTTAACAGGTTGTGGCTATAGATCAGGCGGTGGGGAAGGCCTCACTGAAGAGAGTGACTTCTGAGTAATGACCTAAGCAAGCTAAAAAGCCATCTCAGAGATGGCAGGTGCTAGGGCCCAGAGGCAGAGGCCTGCCCAGTGAGCTGAGCACCCAGGACGCCAGGATGGCTATGGCAAAGAAGGTAACAGAGAAAAGAGTGGTCACCAGCCTTTACTCTGAGACAGAGCGATCTTGGTGGCTTACATTTTAACATGGTGACTGGCTGCTGTATAAGCACAGCCTGAAGGAAAGAAGACAAAGGGCAGAATCAGAAAGGTGGGTCTGGAGACTTTAATGCAGCACAGAGTGCCATGGGGGAGGGCTGGGCAAGAACAGGAACAGGGGCTGCTGATGCCAGCTCCACTGCTAAGTTAACATGAGCTGTGGGAAGCAGCAGCCAGGAGCATGGATCCAGATATGGGTAGTCCTCTGTGTTCACTCATGGGTGACAGTTAGGCTACTGGATACTGAGAGCTCCAAGGTAGGTCTGGGCTGCAGATGCCAATCAGCAGAGATACCAACCTAAGAGTGACCTTTTACTGGAAGTGCTTAAAGCCATGAGGCTGGATGGGACCTACTAGAGCATTTCTGTACAGAGGGAGAGCCCTGGAACAAAGGAATCAACCATCTCAGACCACTTTAGCCAAAAGTTCCATTCTTCCCACACTCCCATTTGCCTTCTCTTCCAAAAACTAGTTATAATGGGATAATCTTTTGAGAACAAAGGCTACCCTACATTCGTAAACTCTTTCAGAAGACCTGACTCTCCAGGCAGATGTACCTCAAATGCTTCATGCAATGCCACTCACCTTTCAGAGTAAGCTGGGACTTCTCAAAAGGCAGGGCCACTCCTGCCCGGCTGGAGCTGGCAGATGCCATATCATCGCAGTGGAACTGCAGGGGAAGCAGAGTGGCGGGTTACACAATGGCTGAGGAGATTACAAATTCAACCCAAGAAGCTGGGAAAATGGCTCAGTGCTTAGGAACACTTGTGGGCCTTGCAGAGGACCTGGATTCAAGTCCTAGTACCCACATAGTACTTCCCAACCATTTATGACTCCGGCTCTAAGGGACTTAGGGCCTCCTCAACTCCAAGGGCACCAGGTATGCATGTGCAAAGCAAACAAACGTGCAGGCAAAAATCCTCATCCATGTAAAATGAATAAATAAATTTACAGCATTAAAAAGGAAACTTCGGCCCCAGGAGAGGTATGATGGTGCATGCCTGCAATCAGGATGACAACACGAGCTTATACAGCCAGCATTTTCAAAGCAGAGGCAGGAAAAGGTGAAGGTCATGCTCAGCTGTGTAGTGAGTTCAAGTATTGGGAACAAGAAAAAGAAAATTCTAAGTACTACCATTTTGTTTTCAGACTCCATTTAATCATAGAAAGAATCGAAGTTCAAAGCCCCAGGCCCTAGGGCAGCTAGGGACTTCCCAGTAGCTGAACAGCTTCTGTTGTAAGGAAACAGTTATCTGAGTCCAGACATCTCAGGGACAATTTCTCCTAAGGTCAAACTAAGTTCAAGTTCCCGGACCCAGGAACCTACTCCTATCCTGATTGATGGGAACTCCCTTGCTCAACCCCTTATGTCAAAATATAATTGGACATTGCTATAGCTCCCCCCAGTTCCCCTTGACTTATGGTTTCATCCTTTAAATATGCTGTACAGTGTCTCTTCAGGGTCGCAGCTCAGCTCCCGAGTCTGTCTGCAGCCCTGATTCATCAGTAGTGGCTTGATCACAATAACATTTTTATCATCTTACAATCTTTAAGTTCTGTTACATTTAAGCAGATCCCACAAGACCAGCCTGATCTATATAGGGATTTCTGATTCCAGGACAGCTAGGACTACATATAGAGATCTTATCTCCCAAAATATAAATGAATAAATAATAAACCAACTAATCAAACTTTTTTTTCTCCAGTGATCCCAATTGGCTAATAAAGCCATGAAAAGATGTCCGATTGCACCCAACAGATGTCTGTCACTCATGGGGACTAAAAGCAAGAGCTCATTTGAAACAATTCTTATACTCAAATGTGATTTGTGAAACATCATAACTTTTCATTTAGAAAATATTGGTTCCTTAAGCTGTGTAGATATTCTAAACCTTAACACATTTCATTACACAACATAAAAAAAAAAAAAAATCACATTTGTGAATGTCTTCGGTGATCTCATCAGATAAGCCTCCAAACAGCAGAAAGCTGTCAAGCCTGTCATGGCAGAGTTAGCCCAAAATCCTAATTTTCTTGTAAGAACAATTTTGTTACTGGCAACAAATACTGTCAGTTGTTTTCCTCAGAGTGTCAGGTTTGCTTCATTCAGTTTGAAGAAAATGCCTGCCAATTTCTCAAACTTCAATTTGTTTCTCAGTTGTTTTCTAAAGGAAAAATGGTATTTCGTGAGAAAAAAAAAAAAAGGCAGCAATTCAGCTCTAGATTCCAGCCCTGCTGAAGTGCTTCTCTTCAGCAATTACTATGGCTCAGCACGTGGCATATGCACACATCAACAGAGAGGATGAAGAAAGACATGCTCAAAGGTCAGATGGGCTGGCAAGGTGGCTCAGCATGGATGTACAACACAGGCCACACAAACACGAGGAACTGAGCTCAGTCCCTGGACTCACATGGTGGAAGGGCGGAACCAGCTCCACAAAGATGGCCTCTGACCTCTGGGGCTCACAGGAGCCATGGCGTGTGCATCCCCCCATGCCCTACACACACACACACACACACACACACACACACGCACACACACACACACTGTGTACACAGGGGCAATGATAGTAAATAGGAGCTGGAGAGATGTCTGTTGAGAGCATATACTACTGTGTTAGAGGACCTGAATTCAGTTACACACACACACACACACACACACACACACACACACATCAAGCAGCTCACAACTGCCTATAACTCCAGCTCCACGGGATCCAGCACCCTCTTGTGGCCTCTGCAGACACCTGCACAAACACACACAGACATAAACACACACAGAAATGCTAACTTTTTAAATATAAAAACAGTGAATTTTTTTATTGGGTTGTTTGTTTGCTTTTTTTTTTTTTCCAACAGGGTCTTACTGTGTAGCCCTCACTCTGTAGACCAGGCTGGCCTCTAGCTCACAGAGATCCACCTTTCTCTGCCTCCCAAGTGCTGGGATTAGGTGTGCACCACCACAGCCAGCTCATTCAAGGATTCAATATTGAAATGTTCCTTTCTACCAAGGTGGTGTGGCGATAGAGAGCGTGAAGACAAGAGCACAATGGCATGGCTGGTCTTTGTTTTTGCACCTTCAATGCAAGCATGATCGCTGTGAGGCGGTGAGTGAAGATGAGCATTGTTATGAAGAGTTTTGATGAAGCAGAGTCTCAGAGAAACTGATAGTAAAGCAGCACAGGCTGAGTGGTGTTCTACATACATAATCCCAGAGTTTGAAAGGCAGGAGGCTCGCTGTGAGTTCAAGGTCAGCTTGGACTATACAGTAATATTCAGCCTCGTGTAGTAGCACACACCTGTAATTCCAGCAAGGAAGGAAGGTCAAGGCTAGCCTAGGCTTCAAAAACAAAACAAAACATCAACCCAGAGCTGTCCTCACAATAGGCAAACCCTCTGGCCCTAGACTAATCTTTACCAGATACGGGGTGGAAACCTCCAGAATGTTCCTGAGAGGAAAACAAACAAACAAACAAACAAACAAACAGTGCAGCATTCTACAGCTCAAGACCCCAGGAGACCTTGTCACTACCTCCAACAGTGATTCTCAATCCCCTCCATATGACTGAGCAGACAGTACCAGACACAACCGAGCACTCTCATCTCTCAAGTACTAGCTTCTAGGACCCACAACTATTTTGGGGTTTTCTGCCTTTTCAAATTGTGGTGTGTTTCTAAAATGGGACCCTTGAATGATGGGAATCCAATTCACATTCCCGTTCCTAAAGTGGGAGAGGGGAGAGAGGCAGAGAGGGAGGGAGGCAGAAAGAGAAGGACATGCAGCCTAACTAAGTACGGTGAACAGGTGAACTTGCACAGAACAACGGTGTCACAGGGGACATACAGGAAACATGACAGCCTGGAAAAGGAAGGAGCCACTGCAGCCGGAAGTCCCCTCTGCACAGGACAGGAGGCGGCGAGCAGGGAAATTGGGAAATGAATCAGACTGCGAAACTTTACCTGTATGTGCAATATTTTATCTTTTAATATATTTTTTTAGATTTTTATAAGTGTTTTGCCTGTGTGTGTGTGTGTGTGTGTGTGTGTGTGTGTGTGTACCATTGTGTGCCTGGTGGCCCTGGAGGTCAGAAAAAGGCTTCTGAATCCCTGGAACAGGAGGTATGGATGGGGAATGACTCACCACGTGGGTGATGCAAACCAAACCTGGGTGCGGTGGTTCTTAACCACTGAGCCATCCCTCCCAAGCCATTCTCATGACAGTAATCTCAGTCTCTGAACCATTTTGGAAGTTTGACCCTATTTTTTAAGTGAACAACAATCTTAAAGGGGAAATGACAGTACACTGGATGATTTTAATTAGGCCCTGGGGTCGGTGCTTTACCAGAGGGTACGGCACTAAAAGTTGGAAGCCCACTATTTACAGACTTTAAAAAACAAAAGACTATTTTTAAAAATCTTGATGTCTGTTGGGACGCTCTCTTCCCCTAAGGCAACTGAAGTCAGGGTAGTTTTTGAAGCAGCTTGTTCTCCTGAACTTTGGCCTTTGTTCCAAACTTCTAGACAGTGAAACTTGGAGCCCCCATACGGCTTTTCAGAAAAACTGAAGTATCTAGATCTACAACTAACAGCCCCAAAACAAAATCAAGGATAAATGCTAAGAAAGCTCAGAAAGAACAAACCCAGCTGAACACATAGGAGACATAGGGCCCAAAACTCCAACACATTCTTTTCCAGTCCTTCATAATTATAGCCCGCTCTTTATGAACACAGATCTGTTATTATGCGAGCTTTGTCTGCCATTCCACATCCCATTAGCCAGATACATCGGACCATTACAGGGTAGGCCATGTGAACTGAAAACCTCTGCAATGCACATATAAAGAAAGTACCCACAACTAGGCGTCGAAGATGGACATCAGTCTGACGGGTGTGCTGGTTCCCATCAGTGAACCACACACAGGCGGTCCTGACAGACGCCAAAGTCTGAGTCTAGCATGGGCTATATTGCTAGACGCTATAAAAAATAAATAAGTAACTAACTAAATAAATAAATAAATAAATAAGAGATACTGACCCAACTTACAACCTATTGGCCTTTGTCTCAGGGTCTCACTGTCAACATGATCTAAATGAGTACTGTACTGGGTTCATGTCCTCAATGCACACCACAGGAGCATGGAATGTGTTCAGCTGATTCAGAATCACAAAGAGATAGCTACTAACTCTTTCTAGCCAGTAATGAGGAAGTGTTTACATACAAATCTGAAAGACAGAGGAGGGGGAGAAAACAGGAAGGAGGGAAAAAGAAGAAAATAGTCAGGAAAATGGAGTTAGCTAATAAGCCCACGACGTTAAAATATAACCGAGGGCTACATATGCAAAGGCTTCACCCTTTGCATATGTAGGCTCCAAAACTTCTTTCCTTTACTAATTTGGGACAATTTACCTAATCTCTAAATAAATAATAAAATGGCATTTTATCTCTGAACTTGCCCTCCACGTAAATCTTGACAGGCGTTTTTGTTTTGTTCAAGATTTTCCTACCTTGTGTGTAGGCACACACACATGCGCGTGCATACACAGAGGCCAGAAAGGGATGCTCAGGGTCATCCTCTATCATTCCCGTTACTCCTCTGAGGCAAGGGCTCTTCTTGAATCTGGGGCTCAAGTTTTATTGGCTAATGCTCCTGTCTCAGCCCTGCACCAGGC